GAAATGTGTTAACAAGAGGTGAAGTGTGAAAAATATTGGTTGAACAGCTGATGACAGAGATGAGAAAATGACAGAGGGGAAATGATGGAAAAGGTGAGGTGAGAAGATGAGAAAGTGGTTGAAAAGAATATGGAAGAGGTGATAAGGAGACAAGGGGGAAAAGGTGAGAGTATGAGAAAGTGAAAAGGAAGTGAATTAGTATCAGATTTGCAATCAGAAAAACGGAATTTTTTTGATACTTTTTTTTTTTTTTGATACTTATCAGAAAAACGGAATTAGTGGAGAATCGATTAGGTGGATTTCACGGAGGCTGAGAATGAAAAGCACCCATCCCGAAAAACATCAAGCCTATTTTTTGGTTCAACAACATATTTGTAACAAAAATGTAAAATTCTTATTTTGGCATACACAATTTTTTTAATATATTATTTCTTCGTTGCCCAGTATTCTACGTATCTGCTTTTCTATTTTGATTTCAAAAAACAATACCCAATTGATATTCTTTATCTTTTCCTTTGGGTTTGTCTATTATGAAATTTCTAAATTGGAGGATCATTTAATTATTTTTCTATGTAAGGATTCATCCACGTCCTCAAATCGTATCACATTTAGAAAGTGATGTAAATTTTCAATCATTAATAAAATTGAAGTTAATTAACTTGTACATATCCTCACCATTCAACAAAAATAAAAAATCCACCCCGTATGCACAGATTGAGAGGAGCAAACCTCTTTTTCCCAAGAGTTTTTCATTCAAATTCAATTGAAGATCCAAAATATGCGAGGACATCCAGCTAGCCATGACCAGTATATAGGTTGTTGATTCTTTAAAATAAAAAAAATATTTGAATTGACATTTAGAGTAACCGTATAATCTCATGTATACCCACAGTTCGATGCTATCATCTCATTAATATTTCATCCATAAGGTCACATTCAATGTGTCTTTGATCCAATGATACTTTTTGTTTTATAAAAATTTTGTCTTCTTGAGGTGAAGAGTTCAAGTCTCCCTTCCCCCTTTTGCCCCCCCTAAAAAAAAGGTTGCATCCTTAACCTTATTTCCCATTAAAAAATAACGTTATGTGACACTATGTATAAGAGAAAAAAGTTTTAATAAAAGAAAATTGTATCTCACACTTTGTACATTCCTATCAACAATTGATTCATACGTTGAGCTCTAGCAAGCATGTCAAAGAAAAATTAACTACATTTCTCGCAAGCTTACTGCAGAGAAATTAAAAACTCAATATTAAGGAATAGTACACACGCAACTACAAGAAGATTGTTTCGTGGACCCATAAAAATTTGATGCGAACAAATTAGTTCTCGTAGAATAATGAGAGAACTAACAAGTATGACCTATTAAAAATATAGACAAACAAAAGTGGGACTCCATATCACACATCTTTCTTTCCACTATTTTAGTGTAAAAGTCTCTCCCTAGATGTACATAATTGTTGAATTGACATTTGATAAGCAAGTGTTACCACACACAACAATGTGATAAAAAAACAAGTGGTGTTGGTGAGCGCTAACCAATTGTTACGCCTTATTAATTATAATCTAAAATTTATTAAAGTGTGAAAGAAAAAATATAGTTAGGACATAAAGAATATAGTCAGTATCATTATTTGGACATTGAAAAATTGGTATTTCACATTAAAACATTGAGAATAGGGAATAAGAATTGACATTCTACTAAACTAATGGAAAGGTAAAATTAGACTTTTACCAAAAATAACTTTTGATTGGGTAAAAGTATGGACCTAATCGAATCCAAATGACATCAACTCTTTTAATTTTGGAGAAATTGTACCTTATACCCTAAAAAATTTAAAAACATTTGGTTTGTATTTTCAAAGATTAGAATTTTTTATAGTATCGCAATGTAACCCTTTTGTTAGTTTTTGTTATTCATTTCGTCAGTATCAAGAAGTGATTTGTGATAGAATAAACAACGCAAAAGTTAATAGAAGAGTTACATTATAACATTTTAATATATTCAGAGTATAATATAAAAAATTTAATCTTTAAAAAAATAAACTAAATTTATTTTTTATTTGACGTAAGATGTCACATGGTGTCCCAACGTTATAAATCTATGTGACATCTCTTAATCAATTTGAGATAGCTCATATATTGTAATTTAACAATGTTATTGAGATTTAATTTATTGATATCATTTGTTAACTTAATTTATTGTGACTTTTAGATTCACTGTACCCATCAAATATTAAAACTTAGTGTTTAATCTAATAATTCTTATAAAATTATATTATTATATTAATAAATTAAATTAAAATTTTAAATTCAAATAATATTACTCATTCTAAGAAGCCAGCGGTACCAAAACAAAAGTAAACAAAAAAAGAAGGTCGTCCTTATCGAAGGAAGCAAACAATAATGATCGCACGGAAATGAGAATAATTGTTTGGTTCCTCGTGAAAAACGAGGTAGAGAATCATTATGTTCTGCTCTCTCTCTCTCTCTTATCCCTCTCTCTCTCTCTTATCCCTCTCTCTCTCTTATCCAGATCCACTGCTATTAATTTGTTTTTACAACAGGGACGCTATTCTTTAAAAAATGACACCATTTCACATCAAAGCATTATCATTTTATTAAATAAAAAACATCGTTTTAAAAAATAAAACCTTTGTTGTGCAGCAGAGGATTTAGAATTATCTCTCTCATTTTTTTTCTTCCGTGTTAGGTTGGAATTACCATCATTAGTCTTATGTATGAGTAATGTTATTAGAACATAATTTATTGATTTAATTTACAAATTTAATTCATTATAACATTTGAATTGACTATAAATTTTATTGAATGTTAGAACTTGGAGTTGATTATAATGATTTGAAAGAAATCACATCAATAGATCAATAAATTAGGTCAAATTTTGAGATTTAAATAATTTTACTCCCAATACATACACGTATTATCGTTAATGCTTTAGGGACCTCTTACGTTATTCAAAACAATTATTTATTAATGTGTTAAATTGATATTTTATACACAAGTAAAAATAAAATAGTTAATAAGAGTAATGAAAATTTTAAATGCAAAATAGTTGTCAAAAAGTTGAAAATGGTTACATAGGTCACATGTTAAAACTATAATGACAACCCATTTATTATTCGTGCTAAAATTTCAATCCAACATTATTATCACTATATAAATTTTGATAAGTCAAATTTACCATAGGCCATATAATTAATCGGCAAGATGGAAATTCAAATCGGCAACCCTCATTGATGATCCTGACCCTTAGGTGTGCACTCTTAAAAATACTTATAACACCCTTTATTTATCTAAATTAACTATTTATTATCACATTTTTAACTAGACTTATTCTTTTGAATTCATAAAAACCACCCAATTCCTTAACGTAGCTAATTGTGTGTACAAGACATCTTGTTTTTGTGAAGGTAGAGAAATGAGCTTAATGTTCACTCTTAAAATACTTATAATAACCCTACTTTATTCTATGGTGACATTCATGACTAACTCTTAATTGTCCATAACTACCTGAGCAATGCTGTTCAGATTAGAGCAATGCTTTTCAGATTAGGTCAATAAAATTTTTCGATAACTTTTTCCCACTCTCTTTCTACTCTCTCTCTCTCTCTCTCTCCCTCTCAAAATCTCATTTCTCTGCAGTCCCTCTACTATAATATAGACTGAGACACATGGTGAAAGGAACTGACAGCGTTGAAATACACAATTACCTCAAATATTGATAAATGTCAATATTTGATAAATGTCATTTTTGGTACCATAACAATGATAAAAATATTCATAAAAATGATAAATGTCGGTACAGTGAAAAAATAGTTAATTTTTTTTCTTACCGTAGAGACACACAATGGTAAATTTTTTTAACCGAAAAGTGGTACACACTATTTTTACCATCTCTCTCTCTCTGTTTGAAGGTTGAGGCAATAAAATCCCTGCAATAATCAAACACATTTTCTCTTTATTTCTATTATTTCTGAATCAAATACCATGAATTAATTCAGGCAGACCTATTATATATAAGTGAATTTCTCACTTATTAAAAGTATATAATATTTTTAAGAAGAAAAAGTGAAAAAAAATTATTGGAGAGACTTTGTGGAGCAACTTCGTGCAGCCGAAGAAGCAAATAATTTAAAAGTAAAATTTTCCATTATGTTTTGTACCAGGTCATGAAGCCGAAGAAGCAAGCCCGCCTGAAAATACCAATGTCAACCACCACTTAACGGTCCCGAAGCATAGACAATACAAGTGGTGGATCCAAATGGTCATTTTCTCTTTCCTAGTCCTCTCTGGCCAGTCAGCTGCCACACTCTTGGGAAGACTCTACTTTGACAAAGGTGCAAATAGCAAATGGAAGGCAACCCTAGTCGAAACCGCAGGCATTCCTCTCCTTTTTCCCTTTCTCTTCCTCTCACCAACCAAATATGGGATTTCACAAAGTAACCAAACAAGACCACCTTCTACCTTAATCCTTGTCTCTTTTTATACCTTTCTTGGTGTATCCCTTGCAGCATATTGAATGTTATACAGAATTGGGCTCCAATACCTCAGTTTCTACTTATTCTCTCATTTCTTGAAGTAAATTGGGCTTCAATGCTCTCTTTTCCTACTTCCTTAATGCGCAAAAAATTAACTCCTTTTATAGTGAACTCTTTAGTTCTCCTCACCATTTCTTCCACAATCCTTGTTTTCCAAAATGACGACTCTGGAACTCCAATTAAACCTTGAAAGGGAAGTGTGTGATCGGGTTTATGTGCACTGTTGCTACATCCACCGGTTATGCATTGAACCTCTCAATAACCCAATTCGCATTTTGAAAAATTCTCAAGTGGGAAACTTTTAGAGCGGTCATGGATGTAATTATCTACCAATCTCTTGTAGCGACGTGCATGATCCTAGTGGGGGCTTTTCGCTAGTAAGGAATGGTGGAATTTGAGCAGAGAGATGAAAGAATATGAACTTGGTAATGTATCGACGTAATGAACTTGGTATGGACTGCTATGACATGGCAAGTGTTTAGCATTGGGGCTGTTGGGCTGATTTTTAAGGTCTCTTCACTGTTCTCCAATGTCATAAGCACCTTGGGTTTGCCCATTGTTCCGGTTCTTGCCGTTTTCATTTTCCAAGACAAGAGTGGATTGAAGGTGGTTGCAATGTTGTTGGCCATTTAGGGTTTTGCATCTTATATATATCAGCATTATCTCAATGATTTGGAGTCGAAAGCTGAAAGTAGAAAAGTTGATGATGTTTCTTTAGTTGACACTTGACAGAGTTTAGGTACCATTTGAGAACGCTGTTTACATTTATCTTTAATTGTTTGTTTATTTGACAAATCTGTTAAGTTGTGCTTGTTTTGGAAATTATTTTTTTCATTATTGTTTGACTTTTTCTTATTTTGACAAATATAATTGCATGTATAATACTATACTCGTGCACATATGAATGTATGGGTAAAATATTTTAATAGTCCCCTAAATATTGCTCATTTTCATTTTCATTCTTTTAATTGTATTATTAGTTCATCAATTTTCAGTTTGTGGTGACAGAGGTGTTCACGAGCATCTCAGATGAGCACTCTTGATGGTCACTTTGTGTTGTGAACGTGCAACATGGTAAACAATTTAGAACGAGATATTTAAGAACAAAAGATATACATGGTTCGATAGAAATTCTACCTACGTTAACAAAAGTAGCTTTTCCTTGATTATCATTAGAATCCAAAGGGTTATATCATATTTATAGATGCCAGTTAATAACCCTAATCATAGTCCAATTAGGAAATATAGTCCTATTAATTAATTCCTTGTAAAATTTTTGGATTACTCAATTTTGGTAAAACTCCTCTACTAGATGTACATTGGAAACCTCAAATGTACTCGTTCCTTACAATGGGATATTCTCTGCATCCTCTAATCTATTATTTGATCTTGACAACCAAGCAGTAGCACAACTGAACTATCCCATTAACTTTTGGGTCTAATGAATATGAGCCATTTATTATTTCTAACAATCATAACCTTGGTGAATAATTCACCACTCTGAAAAAGTACTATAGCTTATCTCTATCGTAAATCTATAGGTTGGGATGTCATTTTTCTCACATTGAGAAATATTAACCAATTGCAAGCAAATGCTTGAACCTGTCTAAAAGAATTGGCTTTGTCAACCTGTCAGCTGCATTCTTCGAAATATGCACCATTTCTAGTATCATCTCGTTATAGATAATTAACTCTCTCACCTTGTGAAACCTCACATCTAGATTCTTTTTCTTGGCAAGATACACTTGATGTTTTGCCTAATAAATGACGCTCTGACTATCACAACGCACATGAACTCCACCTTGCTTTAAACCAAGCTCTTTAACCAACCATTTGAACCAAAATGCTTCCTTGGCGGCCTTAGTCACTGACATGTATTCTGCTTCAGTTGTAAATAGAGCCACTAGTTTATTGTCACATGGATATCCAACAAATAGTCCCTCTTGCAATTGTAAACACATGACGTGACAAAGTGTAGGCCTGGGAAGAAGAAGTCGGAAGCAAAGTCACTCCTAAAGTGGGCAAACCAACTATGGATGCATCTAAAAAATCTGTCAAAGTTTCGAATCCGCAGACCCATCATGGTGATGTTGTTTCTAGTAATTGTGGGCAAAAGGAAGATGTTTCTCCAGCGAACCATGCTAACACCATTGGGTGAGGGTGTTGAACAAACTTGAGGTATGTGAAAGGGATACCCAAACTAAGAGTAGAATCCCGTATATATAGTCAAACAATAGTATAAAGTGATCTGAACATCCCTTTGGTTTAGACAAAATAAAAAAGTCATAGTAAGGGTAAAAAGAGAAAAAAAAAAACCCTAATAAACTAGACTATAACTCCAACACTCCCTCTTAAGTTAGGCGCAAAAATGTCAACTAAGTCAAACTTGACAATGAAGTCTTGAAGAATGGACAGAGTGACTGGTTTGGTGAAAACATCCACAATCTGATCATTAGTCCCCACAAATAATTGACTGAGAATACCACAGTTAACCTTCTCCCGAAGAAAGTGAACATCGATCTTTATATGTTTCGTTCTCTTGTGTAGTACAGAGTCAGAAGCGAACTGAATAACAGATCGATTATCATAATATAATATGGATGGAGAAGCCATTGAAGATCCCAACTCTCCAAGAATCAATCGTAGCCAAATAATCTCGCATGTGCGACGTTCTAGTGCCTGATACTCTGCCTTTGTTGACGAGCAGGAGACAACTGTCTACTTCTTGCTCTTCTAAGATATAAGATGAGTCCCTTAAAAAGTACAGAAGCTTGTAGCAGATCGACTGTCACATGCTCTCTCATAATCTGAATATGAATAACATGCTAGAGAACCATTATGAGATCCTAATGCATAGATCAACCCCAAGTCCAGGATAAGATTTGAGGTACCGAAGAATATGATAAATTGCATCAAGATGAGGCTGACACTGCCTATACGTGAACTGACTAACTCGATTAACAGCGATTGAAATATATGGCCTAGTGTTGGCTAAGTAGATAAGTATACCTATCAACCTCTACCAAGAATTGATCATAGTCAGATAATCTCACACATGCCAATGCTAGTGCTCGATACTCTGTCTCTATTGACGAATGGGAGACAACTGTCTACTTTTTGCTCTTTCAAGATATAAGATTAGTCTCTTGAAAAGCATAGAAGCCTGTAATAGATCAACCGTCACATGCTCCCCTATAATTTGAATTTGAATAACAGGTTAGCAAACTAGTCTAAGATCCTAATGCATAGAACAACCCAAATTTAGGATAAGACTTGAGGTATCGAAGAATATGATAAACTATATCAAGAGGAGGTAGACATTGCCCATCTATGAAGTGTGGATACTTCATTAGGGTTGGCGTATCCGTATCGGATACCTTATCAAATATGATATTCATCAGATACTCGAGGATACGTATCGGATACACCTCCTACGTATCCGATAATAATTAAATATTAACATACTTCACGAATACTTTTGTGTTCAAGAAATATATATAATTTTTGAGTTGAATTTTTAATATTCACATACCATACAACACATTTACAAAAATTCATACTACTTCAAAGGTACATGAGTATTTTTTAAGTAATATCTACGAAAAAGAGTATAAAATAAATCTATTACATTATAGTTTTAGAAAAAATCACTGATAAATAAATCGACTCGGTAAATGTTAGTTTTGATTTCTTTAATTAATCACTTCACTTTGTGAATATACCATAGTGATGCAATATATATTTTATTCAAACTAAAAAGAATTATAAATTTTTCTTATTGTGTTAAAGAACAACCAAAATATATAAGTATTATACTAACTGAAAATAATAAAAATATTAAATATATTTTATTCTAACCGTATCTTAACCGCACTCGTATCCTTTTTTTTTAGATTTTGTTGTATCGCTTTATCTGTATCGTATCATACCCGTATTTCCGTATCCGTATCCATGTTTTATAGCTGCCCATGCATGAATTGACTAACTTGGCTGACAGGGAATGAAATATTTGGTCTAATGTTGGATAGGTAAATAAGTCTACCCACCAACCTCTGATAGACAGTCGGATCTCTCAACTCCTCACCTTCTGCAGTAAGCTTCAGGTTTATAATCATGGGTGATGATGTCGGTTTGCACTCCAGTATCCTAGTGTCCGAAAGAAGATCTAGAACATACTCTCTCTAAAAAAGAACAATACCCCTGCTGTTACAGGAACCTCAATCCCAAGAAAGTATCGTAAAAATTCAGGGTTCATCACATCGAAGGCCTTCCCAAGGTCTACCTTGATTTGTGCAACCTAGAAACATTATCCACTGTAATAATAATATCATCCACATATATAAAAAGAATGACACATTACCCAAAAGTATTTCGTCGAATAAAGCATGTATGGTCAGAATGATATCCGATGAACCCTAAACGTACAACTACACCACTAAACTAAGAAAATTTGGCTTGTGGTGACTATTTCAGTCCATAAAAAGACTTACATAGTTGACACACCTTCCCCACATATTTCCCCTCACCATGAAAACCTGGTGGTGCATCCATATAAATAGTCTCGTCTAGATCACCGTGAAGAAATGCATTCTTCACATCCACTGATGAAGAGGTCAAGAGTATTCCACATCCAGAGATATAAATCAACCGAATGATAGTCAATTTTTCCACGGGGGCAAAGGTAGTACCAAAATCATGACTTGGTACTTAAGTAAAACCCTTTATCACAAGTCTAACCTTGTGACTATCAGTAGTACCATCTGCAAGAAACTTCAGACTCTTGAAGGTAAAGAGACAAGATCTCACCTATGATTACACTAAAGAGCGTCCATCTCCATTTTCACGGGAAGAATCCACTAGGGCTCCCATATAGCCTTTGAAATAGAGCAAGGAACTGACATATCTGATAAAGCCATACTATAAGCTCGAAATAGGGGGGATAGATCACCATAAGAATCATAATCAGAGATCGGATATCGGATATAAAGTCATGGTAGTCCAACCATAACGAACAATGGGACGATGATCCCATCATGGATAATGATGCCTTAAATCATCATAATTCACTGTCAATGTCTCATTAGGTAAAGTAAGTGACTCACTACCTACAATCTCATCAGTACTAACAACAGGTGTATCAATATGTTCAACCAACGGAAAAATATTGCATGCATCACCTGAGGTAAAGGGGACATCAATAGGGGGATGAGAGTGAGGTTAAACAAGTGACTTTGTGGTGACAGGGTCGAGTGGCTCTAGAGGAGAAGAGACTAGTGACTCTATAGTGATAATGACCAATGGTTCTGGCTCATGTGGTAAGGAAAAATCAAAAAGTGTATCATCAACTGGAGTGGCAGACATAGGACTGGAAGAAAAATAAAGAATATGCTCAAGGAAGGTAAGATCTAGACTGTGGTACATATGACGCTTGATTTGATCATAACATTGATACCCCTTAAACTAATGACAATAACCCACAAAGATATAATGAATGCTTTATCATCAAGCTTACGATGAGTATGAGACCTATCTTGAACAAAATATGTGCAGCCAAAAACACAAGGGGGGCCGAAAAAAGTGTCTGCCCAAGGAATAAGACATGTAAGGGAGCCATATACAAAAGAACACGACTAGGTGTACGATTGCACAAAAAGGTAGAAGTCAAAACAACAAAATGCCAACAAGATTTTAGTACCCCTATGCCTCTATGCATATAACGTACCATCCTTATCAGACTACTATTTTTCCTTTTAGCAACTCTATTTTGCTCAGGAGTATATGGACAAATGAGCTGCTGAAAGATACCCTGAAAAAAAAAGGTGAGACACTAGGGTATCAAACACATATTCTTTGACATTATCCTAAAAAAGAGCATGAACAATGACATCGAATTATGTCTTAATCTTCTAAAAAAACTGAGTGATGACATGGAGTATATCGAACTTCTTATGCAAATGGTAGACTCAAGTACAACGGGTATGATAATCTATAAATGTCACATAATATCGAGCACTTGACAAAGCAATAACAACAGAGGGTTCCCAAATATTATAGTATATTAGGTCAAATGGCTTAGGTGACTGGTGGATGTGAGGAATATAACTAGTCCTAACATATTTTGATAGGGAACATATAACGAAATCAAGTTTACCACCAACACAAGCATTGCTCAAAATAAGAAATAATATACATAAATATTTAAAATTTGTATGTCTAGAATGATCATGCCAGAAACTGAACAGTTTGTGATGAAAAATCATAACAAAAAGTACTAGGTAAAATACTAGCATGCAAGATAGGAATAGATAAAGATAAAATAGGTACAGATGATGGAGGCGTAGGAACTGGTGAAAGTAAGGGCAGATCCCTTAGATAGTACAATCCATCTCTCTCATGTATCCTGATAATAATTTTCTTAGTACTCAAGTTTTACAAATAATACAAATCAGATAAGAACACAACCACACAGTGAAAATCTTTAGCTAACTGATGTACAGATAATAAATTTATGACCAACTTTGGTGTATGAAAATTTGAGCGTAATTTAAAATCATCTGGGAGGCAGACTATACCCCTACTAATAATAAGGACATGTGTCACATATACTAACTGAATCTATGTATGCAACTACTTGTCAAAAGTGATGGACCTCACCTGTTATATGACCATTTGCAACCGAGTCCATATCACTCCACCAAGGATGAGTAGTAGCAGAAGTAGTAGGAGCAACGAATGTAGGTGGTGGTACCTTAGCAAGTACGACTACGATGACGCAGTTGAAGCTCCGAATGGAGTTTTAGCAAGTAGCCCTGAGATGTCCTAGTTAGCCATAATAATCACACTACAAGAATCCTACTATTTGAGCGAATCTGGGCACCTTGAGGGTATTGGTCCGAGCACTGTCCACCCCTAGCTGAGGGTCCTGAACAAGACCCTGCAACTAAAAGTGATGCAATATGGACATGACGCTCGTGCTGCTCAATCATCGCATACACTTCATAAAGGGACGAAAGCATTAGCATCAACAAGATCTGGTAGCGAGGTTCCTCAAACTCATCATGAAGCTCTATAAGGAACTTGTGAATGCTATCATTCTGTTCTCGAGTATGTAGGAATGCTGCTCCCTCGTGCTCAATCTTTGGAATAGCAATAAGAGGG